AATCTAGGTGTGAAGCATCTTTCCCATCTTTCCCAAAAAGACTCATGGCTGTATTAGATCAAAAGGGTGCTTCTACTAAATACTGTCTGAATACTTTATTAAAATATTTTACAATTAAAACTAATTTTTATATTAAAATATTTTAATATGCAGTAGTCATTAAAAATATATTTTTACTTAATTATTTAAAAAAATATCACAGTTAATATTAAGTAAAAATGTTTATTTTTAATAAAAATGACTTTTGCCTATTAAAATATTTTAATATTTAAATTGTTTATATTAAAACAAAAGAGTGAAAAATTTAAGGGGGTCTGAATACTTTCCGTACCCACTGTAACTATAATATTTTAAATGTAAATATTAAATAAAAAAAATTTCATTAAAAATGACTATTGACTTAATATTAAAATTTACTATTAATAGTAAAATATTTTAATATCAATAAAAAAATTGTTGGTTCTGTTTGATATCTTTATTTCGTGAAAGTCAGTCATGCAGGGCTGGAACAATATGGTAAAATAAAGTAAATAGTGACTAAACAATTTTTGGGTGAATTTACAGTGAAATTACAAATATAAACCAATACCAACTAATATAGTTATTTTAGTTCTTCAACAAACTAAACAAAAATGAGAAATGTTGCCTTGTTTATTTTACTTCAAATAATATAACGTTTTTTTTATTGTTTTGTTTTCTTTGAATTGTTTGCTTATTTAGTTAATTTTAAATTGATTTAGTTTTAGTTATTTTAGTACTTCAGCTGAAACTAATTGAACTAGGTGAAATAAGAGTTTTTAAATATATTTTATTAAGTTAACATTTATTTTATTTCGAATAATAAATTTTTTTTTGAATGGTTTTAGTTTTGATTTTAGTTAACGATAATATCCAAGGCGACACTTCTAATTATAATAAGTTCAAAAAGGTTTTTCCATCTAATATTTATATTAAATTTTTTTAATTACTGAAAATGTTTATTGTAATATTGTGGAATGGCTCTATACCTCCAGGATGTGATGTAAGAGCGTGATGCGGCTCTTGTTTGCTTTGGTTTCAGTGAGTTTCAGCAGGGAACTGATCTTGAATCCCTCAGCGTTTCCCGTGTGGCTTCCCTGGCAAAAAGGAAAAACTCACAAAATCAGGAACTAAGACACTGCAAACACAGAAAACAGAGCCACAAATCAGCCCAAATCTCTCTCTGCTGACCAACAAACTTAATCAGATGCAGGCAATCATTGATGCATAGCCACACAAATCTAACAACATTATGAATAAAATCAAATTAACAGGTAAAACAGAGCAATAATACATTCTGTGAAGATCAAGGGCGTAGGTTTGATTTTGACATAACAGACAGACATTTAATTATTTGATCAAAATTATTGCTAGGGACAATTTAGTAGTTGCTGGATATTGGTAAGGACATGTTACAGTGTCTCTACTAAACTCTACACCCTTGATGAAGATCAAACTCTTTAATTGTGATTTTCTTACATAGTTGAGAAAGTTTCCAACGTCGAGGATGAGTTTGCAGAAACTGGGCAGCAGTGGACTTTTCCTGAGATCTGCGGGCGACACACACTTCACGGAGTTAGTAAAATTTTATTTTTTTTGTGCATTTATTAATTCTGAAAAAATATTAATTCCGTGTGCGCTAAGAAATACTGTACATTAAACAATAATGTGTGAAAAACATTAACAAATGCATTGATTGCAAAATTTAGTGTGAACATCTCTCATGTACATTTTGTGTACAACAGTATGTGAAATATTTTTAATTTGCAAAACGTAAATAAACTAACAAATAAAATAAACAAATTAAATGAAATACATGAGCAAAAATGAAAAACAAAAACAAAACATAAAACACACTAAAGAAAATAAAATACACAAACAAAATACATAAAAAAAAAAAAAAAACAATAAAAAAATAAAAAAAAAAAAAAAAAAACACAATACACAACACAAAACAAATAAACAAATTTACTAAATAAATACATGAATAAAAAAAACAATAAACAAACAATACAATACACAACAAATAAAACAAAACATTAAACACACAAAAACAAATAAATTAATTTTTAAATGGTTTTATATAACAAATAAAACAAAACAAATAAAATACACAACACAAAACACAAATAAACTAATTAACTAAAATACATGGATAAAAAAATAAAAAAATAAAAACAATATAAAATAAATAAAACAAAACAATAAATAAACAAAACACAAATGAACAAACTAATTAACTAAAATAAATTGATAAAATAAACAAAAAAAAATAAAAAAATAAAAAAATAAATAAATAAATACACAAACACAACAAATAAAAAATAAATACACAACATTATCAATAAATAAATACAAAGACAAAAAAACATTAAACAAACAAATAAATAAATTCATTTTAAAATTGTTAAAATAAAATACAGTGAACCAAACATCAGCGCGCCCGCCTCTGTGTCACCGTTGGAACGCGACTGAAGTACAAAGCCTATAATTTACATAATAAATAATAGTTTAGCATTCAGATACGTTACATCGCAAATATGGAAATATTATGGAATATTTGGATTTGTGCCGAATGAGAGAGGAAGGATACATGAGCACAAAGCTCCATTTCATAAACAGTTGAGTGCACAAGCCTTTAAAGTATACTCCTTTGACAGTCTGTGAGAGACGCATTCAGAATCAGCACATGTGCAGTACATATATACATACAAGGAATAAATTCTTGAAATATATTTGATTTAGTTTACAAATAAACAAGAGAAAAAAACGTAGCCTATAATGTAGCCTATATACGCTATATAAATGAGTTTCAGTTCATTTTTGTGACAGGCTTAATTTGTTCACAGGAAGGAAACTCAAATGGCACAAAGCAACATCCTATTCGTTTTCTTTATTTTACAAAAGCACAATTTTTTGTTTTCATTGTGAGTGTACACAAATAAAAGCAGACCTTTATACAGTGATGCATTATTAATAAGACAATAAGTGTTTAAAGTTGATTCTGCTGGTATAAGGAAACAGTTGATGTGATCGCGCGCACACACTCACACACACACACATCAGTTCCAGCATTGCTAACTTGACAGCGCAGTTGGTACTTTATCAAAATAAAATACAGTGAACCATACATCAGCGCGCCTGCCTCGGTGTCACCATTGGAACACAACTGAAGTACAAAGCCTATAATTTACATAAATAATAGTTGAGCATTCAGATACGTTACATCGCAAATAGGGAAATATTATGGAATATTTGGATTTGTGCCGAATGAGACTAAAACTAGACTAAAATGCTCAGACTTTTAGTTGACTAAAACTTGACTAGACTAAAAAGAGTATGAACGTGACTAAAACTAATAAAAACTAAAATGACAGTTTCACACAAAGACTAGATTAAAACTAAAATTAAAACAGGCCGCCAAAAACAACACTAATGGTCACTGTCTAGTGGGCTTTGCTTTCAAGTGCGCAACTCATGGCATTCGCTGTTCTTCTGCTGGCGGCCGGTTATCAAACAGCGTTGTATTGCTGCGGGCACCCCTTCTGGATTGGGGGTGAATTGCCTGTATTCGTTGTAAGGCCTCATGCACCGAACCGAGACGTCCGTACCGTGACGGTTCGGTACGAATACATGTATCGTTCCACCCCTAATGTAAACATGATGCACGAGAATCTCACTGAATGTTTAAAATCTCAAGATATTTAAGCTGCCCGTTACACTTTGCGCTGCTGAAGATTTTTAAGAGCAGAACTGTTTTAAACAGCAGCGGTCAGTTGTCACATGCGATCGGTGCTTTGTACTCACTCTCACAGGCCATCTCCACCAGCTCCACCTTGGGCTTCAGGATATCGAGCACAGACAGCGTCTCTTCACACAGCAACATGCATTCAATCCTTAGCTGGTAACTGATGACAGACGAAACAAACTAATAACTGCCTCATGCACCTACAGTGTTAGAAGAACAATGCCTGAATTTGGGTTTTAATGACACTTTACCAGGGTACAGCCAGCAGTAAGAGGTAAAAGCGATCTACGTTGGCCAGCTTGTCCGGATCTCCTTGAAAGGACTTTAAGTTGTCAATCTGGAGAAGTTAAACGCAAAACACTCAACTGACCATAAGCAGGATTGTGACGACACTGAGTCTCCTGATCCTATTGGAGCAGAGCGTTGAAGATTTTGATTGGTTAAAATTGGGGGCTCGTCCGGGATATGAAATTTTATGTTGCGACCTGCTCGTTTAAGGTAGAGACCTGCAGCAACAGGGTGCGGCGCGGGACAACTCTTGATGGGCGAGTGCGGGTGGGAAGAGACTCCTGTGTGTGCGGGATGCGGGAGAATAAAATGATTCGCGGGACTCCCGCAAAATAGAAATTATCTAAACAAAGTGTCTAAAACATAAATTGTTATTTATCTGTTGCACAAAAGCAAAAAGAACAACTAATATTAACATTAAAATGATTGACATGCGCAAGCTAGGCATAGTTTCTATTTATAACATGTGTTTAAAGGGTTGCGCAATGTAGCCAATCACAGACTCAGCTGTTGATATCTGGAATGCAATGGCCAATCAGAGGTGATTAAGAATCTACTCACCGCAGTGCTGAAATTTCGTGCTCACGAGTCCTCTCATTTTAACACACGAAGTGTAGGCATTGTGAAAGATTCATTGTGCATACATTTGTGTTATAACAGAGCTTTATGAGATTGCGATTAACTGAGCTGTCAGCTTTTAGTGATAATAAAGGAAGCGCTGCTCGCATTCTGCCATGCCAAACCATGCACGCAGCAGCCCATGCTTGCTTTTCTGTTAAAAATAACAGTGGTTTGTGAATGTGAATGTTGATGCTTAGCCTAAATAACATTTTATCGGGAGTGTTTATGCTTGGATGTTGTGGAGCTTAGGAGATGTTACAGAACCATTTCATTTAAATTTCTTCGATGTACTGAAAAAAAATCTATATAGATTACTTTTATGCAGGCTTTTGCGGGCGGGAGCGGGACAAAACATGAATGTCGCGGGCGGGAGTGGGACAGAATCTTGCGGGAGCGGGACTGAAAAATCCGTCCCACGCAGGTCTCTAGTTTAAGGTTGCAACATTAAAGAGGGATCAGACAACAAAGTCTAATCAAAGCAAATTGTTCTTTAATACCCCTAATATTTCTGTTTATTGTCACTATTAATTGTTGTTGTAATAGTTTAATTTAATAAAACTATTTGCTTTGATTAGACTTTGTTGTCTGATCCCTCTTTAATGTTGCAACCTTAAACGAGCGGGTCGTAAAATAAAATTGGGGGCTCCTCCGGGATATGAAATTTTATGTTACGAACCCGCTCGTTTAAGGTTGCATCATTAAAGAGGGATCAGACAACAAAGTCTAATCAAAGCAAATTGTTCTTTAATACCCCTAGATTTCTGTTTATTGTCACTATTAATTGTTGTTGTAATGATTTAATTTAATAAAACAATTAGTGACAATAAACAGAAATCTAGGGGTATTAAAGAAAATAATTAAATTAATATAATAACAACAAAACGTTAACTACACAATATATGAAATGCCAAAAGAACAACAAGAAAAGAGTCAGAAAGAGCCACTCCTGAGAGAACTATCCCACTGTGAGTGCCTACCCCAAATAACACATTACATTCTTAAATACTCAAACTAATGATCAATTAACGGTGACAACCAATCAAAATCTTCCACGCTCTGCTCCAATAGGATCAGGAGACTCAGGGTCGTCATAAGGATAGACTGCAGATTTACTCTGATGCACATGTCAAAAAGACAGAAAACATCGATGCTGAGCCTCGTTTTCATTTGCATCAAGGTCTATGAATAAGAGATACTTGTAAAAGCTCATATTTTATTGGGAAGTACCTCATGTTTTTCCGGAAGGAGTTTCAGAAGCTGTTTCAGGGACTCAACGTCAAATTTGGAACAATCTCCTTTCTGCACCATCGACACAAACTCTTCATTTGAGCTGTTTGTGAGTGAAGCAAACAAATAATCTTTAAACGTCTTTCCACGATATCACTTAAACACACACTAAGCAATCCAAAACGTCTGATCTTACCACTTGAACTGCTTCAGAAAGATATTCAGGTTCAGATTCTTCTTGGGTTCAATGAAGGAAATCTGAGAAATCAGAGAAAATTGCTGAATGTTTATGAAATGTAAATTGACCCCATTTTTTTAGTACATGTTCCTGCTCATATTGTGAATGATTTATGAACCACTCTGACCAAGCATTTACTTTTAAAGTTGATATTTCAATAAATTACCAACACATTCACGGTTCTCTGATGTCGGTTAGTGGTCACATGACATGCAGGTAAACAAATTAAATATTTCAGTAATAAATAGTGTTTTATTTGAATTATTTTAAAATAATTTATTTGAATTTTTAATTAGAAGATTTTAATTTAACATTTTTAAATAAATAAAATATTTCAGTAAGTTAAATTTTTAATTGAATTTTTAAAAAATAATTTGAATTTTACATTATTTTATTTAATTATAAGATTTTAATCAACTCTTTTAAAGGGGTCATATGATGTTGCTAAAAAGTACATTATTTTGTGTATTTGGTGTAATGAAATGTCCTCTATGCCCCTCCTTTCTGAAACGTGAATATCTCTTTGGATTTGAGACTTTAGTCTTTGCAACTTTACAGATCTTCTTTATGCACCAAGAGCTTGTAACACTCCAAAGAGAAAGGAACAATTGAAATAGCATCATATGACCCCTTTAAACATATTTCAGTAAGTGTTCAAAATATTTTAGTAAATGTTTGTAGATTTTTATTTTAATTATTAGCTTTGAAACAAGCTTTCAATCAACTCTCTCTATTTCAGTAAGTGCTCAAAGTATTGTATTTTACTTAGATTTTTGTATTTTAAAATAATTTATTTTCATTTTACATTTTTATTTAATTATTAGCTTTTAAGCAACTCTGAAACAAATAAAACATTTCTGCATGTATTCAAAATATGTTAGTGTTTTATTTAGATTTCTTTTAAATCTTTTTAATTATTTATTTTTTAATTTTACATTTTTAAATATATGATTTCTGTATTAAAATAATTTTTCATTTTACATTTAATTATTAGCTCTTAATCAACTCTTTTAAATCAAACCCTGCTGTTTTTATAACCTTTAATCGAAATAATGAATAACTTGCTGCAACTCTAAAACAACTTTCTTTTTCAGCTGACGTCATCACTCTCTCTTATTTTTCACAATCGAATCAGTTTCTAATTATAAAATCAAGTCATGCTCGATGTTTATTTCTTCTCATTGAAAATCAGTTCATGCATTTACTGGGAGTCGAACCCATGACCTTGCCGTTGCGAGCGCCATGATTTGAGTTACAGGAATGCTCTCAAATTCAATGTTGAAATTTAATCTGTGAGATATATATATATTTTATATCATGCACCTCCTTGGGCTCTTTCTTGAGCGGCGCGGCTGGGCTCTTGTCTTTGGGCTCAGTCACTGGCAGACAGAAGAGCTGCTCGATGCTGTTGTAATTGGGCTCCAGCGGTGAATCGGTCGAGACAGACGCCCACATCGAAGGACCATCTATGAGAAAACCACATACACACTGTATTTGCACACAAAAATGCAAGTGCTGATAGAAAGCATCACTTCCAGTCCGATTTAACAAACGCTTCCGAGATGCATAGTTCTGTTTGTGGCACTTGGCAATGAAATTATCCATGAGCTGAAACAAATACTCTGAAATAATCATACTTTTGGACAGCCAGAAATTCAAATTAAAACCTACACATATTTCTGGTAATTTGACGTTATTTTCTCAACTTGTTTATCATGTTTGATGTTTTAATAAAAAAATAAAAATAAAAAAAAAAGTTTCATTTATAATGTTACAAAAAACTGTTGATCAATTTTCTTGTCAGTCTTTTCTAAATAATAAATGGGCAAAATAAGCAGCAAACTTGAGCAGGCTTTATATGGATCATCGAAGGTCTGGCTATTAGCAGTGTTAATTTAGTATCATTGATACACTTTTAGAGTTATTAAATTAGATTTTATTTTTATATTTTATGATTTCATTTTAATTTCAGTTAAAGTTTTAGTAATTTTTTTGTTTTACGTTTTTGTAAAAAAAAAAAAAAGTCTACATATTTAATTATGGTGTTAGTTTTAGTTCTTTTAGTACATTAACTTAAACAACAAAAATAAGAAATGTTGCCTTTGCAACGAGCTGAAATAAAAGGTTTACATTTTTTATATTTCAGTTTGTTAATATTTTGAATCAGATTTTATTTTTTATATTTTTCTGTTTTCATTTTAATTTTAGTTATTTAGTCATGTTTTTCACTTATTTTATTTTTTTAAAATGTCTATATACTTGCAACTATCTGAGATCTGTCTGTATCTGTATTTTATTTTTGAATTAGATTTAATTTTTATATTGTTTTTTACATTACTGTTTTAATAATTGTTTGTCATTTTTATTAGTATTTGTTTTTAATGTCTATATAATGTGTATTAAGTTTTAGTTTATTTAGTATTAACTAAAATGTTTACAAGCTGATTTTTTTTTTTTTTATATTTTATTTTATTTCTATTAAAGTTATTTTATTTCAAATAATGATTTTAGCTTTGGTTAACGATATTAAGCCTGGCTATTACATTTCATATTTACATTCTTATGCATTTGGCACAGTGAGAGCTCTGCATTTTCTCAGCTCATGCGTTCTCTGGGAATCAAAGCGTCGCGTCGTTAGCGTTTCTCGCGGATCTCACCGGTGACGGCTCTGGAGTTCAGCTTCTGCCAGTTGAGTTTCTTCATCCTGAGTGTGGGATACGGGCCGCTCCTCGCCGGCGCGGAGTAACACTGGCCAAGCGGATGAAACGCCCGGGTCACGATCACATCACCTGCTCCTGGAGGAGGAGGAGGAGGAGGAGGTGCACCCATGCCAGGTAAAGGTGGAGGCGGTGGAGGACCTGCAAAACCCATTCCTGGAAGAGGAGGAGGAGGAGGAGGAGGAGGAGGCATCGCTGCTCCTGGTAAAGGAGGTGGTGGAGGAGGTGCAGGAGGAGGTCCAGCTCCTGTTTTGAGAGGCACTGCTGAGAGAGGAGGAGAAGCCATGCTGGGCAGAGGAGGAGGAGGAGGAGGAGGAGGAGCAGGTCCGGTCTTTGTGGAGTTGCGCGGAGGTTCCTGGCTTTTGGCTGATCTGCAGGAACTCTCCAGTTTCTCATCTTTGCTCTCCGTCTGAACTGCTTGATTCTTTTTTCTGGACTCGTAACCGTCGACCTCAAAAGAGCCTTTGGACGATTCCTTAGAGAAGACGAGACGCTGCAGGATCTTCTCACTCGAGTCCATCTCAGCTGAGCGGACAGAGAGAGAGAAACATGCTGAAACAATAACATTTCATCAATGCATTACAGAAACAAATAAAATATCCATAGGCACAATAAAGAAATAAACAACTGAATACAAGTAAACAAGTAAAAAAAATGAAAGTAAATATTTACTTGTTTATTTGTTTATTTACATAAGGCAAATACGTATACAAGTAAATAAAAGTAAATATATTTTAGTAAGCAAGTATATAAGTAAAAAATAGTAAATGAGCAATTAGATGTATACTGCAAGTAAACAAATGAGCAAATAAATAAGTAAATCAGCAAGTAAATAGTTAAATAACCAATTAAGAAGCAAGTGAATAAATAAATAAATAAGCAGGTAAATGTATAAGTATACAAATGAAAAATATAAAACAAAATTAATGTAAATAAGAAAATAGGTTAAGTAAAAAAATACATAAAAATAAATAAGAAATTAAATGCATAAGTAAACATAAATATACAAGTATATGTAAAAAAAGTTAATAAACAAGAAATAAATAAGCAGGTGAATGTATAAGTAAATAAGTGAAAGAACTAAAAGCAAATTAACATATGTAAATAAGCAAGTACATATATATATATAAGTAAAAAATAAAATCAATAAATCATAAAAATGATCAAAATCAAATGCATAAGTAAACAATTAAGCAAGAATCTATACGTTAATAAGCAAGTAAATAAGCAAGCAAGCAAAAAATGTACAAGTAAATAAATAAAAGTAAAAATGAAGTAATGGAGTGATTACTGCATGTTATATGCTACTTATGTTATATGTTAGTGAGTGTTTGTGCCCTTCAGTTAAACAGTTAAAAAAAGACAGCCCATAATAATAATAAGACAAACGCAAATTTATTATAATAAAAACGCAAATTTACATGATATTTGTGAATATGCTAAATGGTTTGACACACTAGGATTTTTAGAAAAAAAGAAGAATTAGGGAGAATAAGTAATTTACTGTCATTGTGTGAATAACGTGTAATCATGTAATCCATAAAAAGTAACTGTAATCTGATTATGAGCATTGGAAAATGTAATGCACTCTGATTACAAGTGCTTAATCCAGATTACATGTAACCAGTTACTTCCCAGCTCTGCAAATGGGTCAGTATTTCCAAACGGAGTCATTTCCATGAGAAACAAACTGTAATGCATGGCAACTGATCAGAGAGTAACTCACAGCTCTGAGCGATCAGAATGGCCCGGTTAGCGAGAGCCTCCAGCGCCTGCCAGATATCCGCTCGCTCGGGACCCAGCAGCAGCAGCGCCTGTAAGACGGACAACAGCTGCAGAGACGACGGGAAGCTGCTCACCTGCAAACACACGACGCAGCTCAAGCTACCAGACACCATACGAGCCAAAGAAACCACCGCAGCTCTGTAAGAGAGGAGCGCCGCTTGCCTTGTTAAACAGAGACGTGAAGACTTCCTGATGGTTGCTCATGTCGATTCCTCCGTAAAGACTCTGGAGCTCGTCCTCATCCTCAGCCATGGCCTCTTCAAACGCCTCACACTGGATGATCAAGTCTTCATCATCCTCTTCTCTAAAACACACACAGTGACAGAGCGTCTCAACTTGAGATTTATTCACTTGCCAAGTGTTGCACTTCTGCTTCTGAAAGCTCACCTTAACTTCGGCAGCAGGTGAAGCAGCTGTAATCCTGGTGGACACAAATAAACGTAAAGTCCATGAACACACACCAAAACATCGAGTGCTCTGTGTTGGAAAGCTCCGTTGTGTTAAAGCACAAAACAGGAGGTGTGTGCTTGTGTGACAAACAGGTGAACGCAATTAAGACTTGATCACGTCTGTTTGCAATTGCATACTATACATACTACTCATACTAGATTTGAAGTATACAATAAGTATATCGTGCACAACTCCAAAAGTATTTAGTAGATAATATGTTAGCTTTTATTAATATTTTGAATAATTTTTCTATTTTAATGATTTAATAATTTATGCATTTTTGTCATTTTTAATAGTTCGTGGTTTATATACGTCTCTATATTTTTTATTAATTTTTTTCCAGTTTTAGTTTTTGTTATTTTAGTACATCAAGTTGAACTAAATTAAAATGAGAAATGTTGCCTTGGCAAGTAGCTAAATTTAAAAAAATATTTTATTTCAGTTAAAGTTTTTTATTTTAATTTCAGTTTTAGTTTTAGTGAACTATAAACAACCCTGACATGAAGTAAGCAACAACCGTTTTGAGCATTTTTCTTTACTCATTATTATAAAGACTGCAGTTTAGATTTAAAAACACCCACATTTGTTTTCACAGAAATAAATTAACACTAAATTAAAGCATACTTCTGTCTCCATGATTGCGTACTGCATGCTGTGTACTTACATGCTATTGAATAGCGGGCAGCATTCATTGTACACTGTGCACTATGCAGTAAGTAGTACAAAGTAGGACTGTATTTGGAGTAAAGGGCTGTGTTCTAAATAGCATACTTGCATGCTACTCATACTATTTTTGCAATACTTATATTGTGCACAATAGGTTGCACTCCCAGATGATTTATTAAATTGATTAAAATGTGCAAAATACAGTAAGAAACAACAGTTTTTAGCATTTTTCTTTACTCGTTATTATTCAGACTGCAATTTAGATAAAAAATAACCACATTTAACACTAAATTAAAGCATACTATGTCTCTATGATTGCGTACTGCATGTTGTTCCACATGCTATTTTTAATAAATAGCGGGCAGCATTCATTGTACACTGTGCACTATGCAGTAAGTAGTACAAAGTAGGACTGTATTTGGAATAAAGGGCTGTGTTCTAAATGTCAGTATTTCCAAACGGAGTCATTTCCATGAGAAACAAACTGTAATGCATGGCAACTGATCAGAGAGTAACTCACAGCTCTGAGCGATCAGAATGGCCCGGTTAGCGAGAGCCTCCAGCGCCTGCCAGATATCCGCTCGCTCGGGACCCAGCAGCAGCAGCGCCTGTAAGACGGACAACAGCTGCAGAGACGACGGGAAGCTGCTCACCTGCAAACACACGACGCAGCTCAAGCTACCAGACACCATACGAGCCAAAGAAACCACCGCAGCTCTGTAAGAGAGGAGCGCCGCTTGCCTTGTTAAACAGAGACGTGAAGACTTCCTGATGGTTGCTCATGTCGATTCCTCCGTAAAGACTCTGGAGCTCGTCCTCATCCTCAGCCATGGCCTCTTCAAACGCCTCACACTGGATGATCAAGTCTTCATCATCCTCTTCTCTAAAACACACACAGTGACAGAGCGTCTCAACTTGAGATTTATTCACTTGCCAAGTGTTGCACTTCTGCTTCTGAAAGCTCACCTTAACTTCGGCAGCAGGTGAAGCAGCTGTAATCCTGGTGGACACAAATAAACGTAAAGTCCATGAACACACACCAAAACATCGAGTGCTCTGTGTTGGAAAGCTCCGTTGTGTTAAAGCACAAAACAGGAGGTGTGTGCTTGTGTGACAAACAGGTGAACGCAATTAAGACTTGATCACGTCTGTTTGCAATTGCATACTATACATACTACTCATACTAGATTTGAAGTATACAATAAGTATATCGTGCACAACTCCAAAAGTATTTAGTAGATAATATGTTAGCTTTTATTAATATTTTGAATCATTTTTCTGTTTTAATTTTAATGATTTAATAATTTATGCATTTTTGTCATTTTTAATAGTTCGTGGTTTATATACGTCTCTATATTTTTTATTAATTTTTTTCCAGTTTTAGTTTTTGTTATTTTAGTACATCAAGTTGAACTAAATTAAAATGAGAAATGTTGCCTTGGCAAGTAGCTAAATTTAAAAAAATATTTTATTTCAGTTAAAGTTTTTTATTTTAATTTCAGTTTTAGTTTTAGTGAACTATAAACAACCCTGACATGAAGTAAGCAACAACCGTTTTGAGCATTTTTCTTTACTCATTATTATAAAGACTGCAGTTTAGATTTAAAAACACCCACATTTGTTTTCACAGAAATAAATTAACACTAAATTAAAGCATACTTCTGTCTCCATGATTGCGTACTGCATGCTGTGTACTTACATGCTATTGAATAGCGGGCAGCATTCATTGTACACTGTGCACTATGCAGTAAGTAGTACAAAGTAGGACTGTATTTGGAATAAAGGGCTGTGTTCTAAATAGCATACTTGCATGCTACTCATACTATTTTTGCAATACTTATATTGTGCACAATAGGTTGCACTCCCAGATGATTTATTAAATTGATTAAAATGTGCAAAATACAGTAAGAAACAACCGTTTTTAGCATTTTTCTTTACTCGTTATTATTCAGACTGCAATTTAGATAAAAAATAACCACATTTAACACTAAATTAAAGCATACTATGTCTCTATGATTGCATACTGCATGTTGTTCCACATGCTATTTTTAATAAATAGCGGGCAGCATTCATTGTACACTGTGCACTATGCAGTAAGTAGTACAAAGTAGGACTGTATTTGGAATAAAGGGCTGTGTTCTAAATAGCATACTTGCATGCTACTCATACTATTTTTGCAGTATGCAATACTAATATTGTGCACAATAGGTTGCACTCCCAGATGATTTATTAAATTGATCAAAATGTGCAATATACAGTAAGAAACAACAGTATTTAACATTTTTCTTTACTCATTATTATTCAGACCGCAACTTAAATAAAAATAACTACATTTATTTTCAGACAAATAACTCTAAAGCACTCTACTGTCTCAATGGTCGCATATTCCATGCTGTTTCACATGCTATTTTTAATAAATAGCAGGCAGCATTCCGTGTACACTGTGTACTATGCAGTAAGTAGTACGCTAGTATACTATATTCCATGCTAAGGGCTGTTTGGATTAAGGACTGTGTTCAAAATAGCATTCTTCCATACTACTCACACTATTTTTTGCATACTACTCACACTGTACAGTATGCAGTAAGTAGTATGCTAGTATTCTACAAGAGCTGTGTTTGGAATGAGGGTTGTGTTCTAAACAGCATACTTGCATGCTACTTATACTTTTACGCTAGTATTCTATATTCCATGCTAAGGACTGTGTTCAAAATAGCATTCTTCCATACTACTCACACTATTTTTTGCATACTACTCATACTGTACAGTATGCAGTAAGTAGTATGCTAGTATTCTACAAGAGCTGTGTTTGGAATAAGGGTTGTGTTCTAAACAGCATACTTGCATGCTACTTATACTTTTACGCTAGTATTCTATATTCCATGCTAAGGACTGTGTTCAAAATAGCATTCTTCCATACTACTCACACTATTTTTTGCATACTACTCACACTGTACAGTATGCAGTAAGTAGTATGCTAGTATTCTACAAGAGCTGTGTTTGGAATGAGGGTTGTGTTCTAAACAGCATACTTGCATGCTACTTATACTTTTACGCTAGTATTCTATATTCTATATGTACTGTAGTATCTACGTCTAGTTGAATGTACCAATGAACTCCTTGCGCATCTTGTCTCTCTGGCGCAGGTCGTCGGCGCTGAAGATCAGGGCGTTTATGACACTCAGAAGAGTCACCATGTAAGGCACATTATCAGTGGATTGGAGTTCATTCATAATCACACTGAATCGATACTGCTGCGTCTTCACAGACTGTTAGACAAACACAGCATTGTCTCACATCACATCATGTCATGCAAACTTTACAATAGGCATATTTTTGACATTTTGACATGGTTATTCTTAAACCTTCCTTTCAAATCCCCATGCTAAAGCTAATATCATTGCTCCAAAAGAAAACCGTAATTTCCTGGTATTGAGACTTTGTTGGTTGTATGAGGCTTAAAAAGAAAATGACTGTCCGATTGAAAATATGCATGCACAAAATGTCTCCATTTTATCTGAAGTTCAGTTAAAACACCTTGTTTAACATAGTAATAAATAATCCACTCACCCTGGAAATATGATTTTCTTAGGATTGTTGTTTACCAGTACAAATATAAACATTCTTAAATCAATATACATTTATTAAGAGGCAAAAAGACTGAAGATATTAAGTCTTGTTTAAAAAAAAATGAAAAATGAAGTGAGTTTAAAGGCAGAGTAAGTGATTTTTCAAAAACACTTTAGAAAACTGATTCGGGCCGAATCGCAAAACAAACTTGTAGCCAAT